AAATAACTTTTAAATTTTTTCTCGAATAAAAATTTAAATTTATCACTTATAAACAATACTAAAAAAAGTAAAAACTCCAAGAAACTCCACCAAACAGGTTCAGCCAACTTTCCAACCAGAAGCTAGCCTTTCTGCCGGTATTCACCAAGTATCCTATACCCTTAGCCACCAAATGCCTAACTTCTAGAATGCTTTTCCAAGGTATGCGAAACTTCCGCCTTTGATTCTGCCGAAAGAAAATCCTTGTCATGAATACTTAGCCTTCAAAACTTTGATCCAGAGAGGTTCAACCTCGCTTACTAGTCTCCACCCAAGGTTGGAAAGAAGAGCTAGGTTCATTTCTTCCGCAGACCGAAGACCCAAAGCCTCCCGTGCTTTTAGATAAACATACCACACTCCATTTAACAAGAGGTATCTTTCTGTGCTCACTCGTTCCGCCCGAAAGATATTTTTGTTATTTATTTTAGAAAGTGATTTGATTAACAAAAATTTTAATTGATAAAAAAGTTTGATTAATTAATGATTTTGATTTATAAATACTAAATTATATGTTCTTTCTTTTCATATTCTTTAGTTCATTGGGATGGAAGAAGATATCCTTTAATAGATAAATCAGTATAAAAAAAAAGGAAATATTTTATGATGGAGACAGTAAGATTCTGAAATTGTTTAAATTAGTTGATCAATTGTTTACATATTATTGTAATGGCAATGTCATAGTTGCAATATCATAGTTACAATGCCACATAAAATTAAAACTTTATAATCATGATGTAACATTAAATCAATATGATATGTTATTAAATAAATAAATGTAAATAATATTATGGGTGGACCTTTGAGTAAAAAAAACAAATTATATAATAATACACATATTATAAGTTTACAATATCACATGATATTATAATTATATCATTTCGTTATCATAATAAAGATTGTATTTTATTTTAATAAAATGATTCATATTTAATAAAAAAAATTATTCTGAGACACTGGAAGAAAAAAATATCAAAGAAACAATGTTAACTTACAGTAACCCCTCTAATTAGAACAGAGAGTAAAAATTGCAGTTGTATTTGAAAAACAGAAAATTTTCAGTAATGGAAAAGGAGATGTTGATATACAACAATTATCCTACTAACTACCTACTGCATCTAATGAATGATATCATAAATCTAAAAAGTCGCATGAGATAGGCAAGTTACTTACATTATAGTGCCCACAAATGTATTGAAACTTGAGCAACAGAGGAGCACCGAAAGAGTGACGTGATTCATATGATTTGATATTTCTTTGCAAGGAATAGAGAAACACTATAATTACTATTTCTGCATAAGAAAGAGGCATAAAAGTCTTTCTGTGAGATGAGTAGATTAGTGTATAATTCCTCATAAACACTGCTGTAATTTCTTGTTTCAAAACCACCAGTAATTTTTTTTGTAGTTGGAAAGAGGATTTAGCATATACATGATACACTTGTGATCTTAGGGACTCTAATGATAAAAGATAAAGTTTGGTTTGATTGAGGAATCAGGGACTCGAGATAAAAACGATTTTCCTTGAACTAGACAGATGTTGAACAGGACTTCTAACCTTAAGCACTGATCCGAATGTTGACGTCCTGTCTGAAAGTGCAGGCCAAAGACGATCACATTTACTCACTAGCATTTGCAATCCCTACCATGTTGAGCATATTCCGGTCCTCCTTAAACCTTTCTAACACAGTACCTCTAAGAGCATCTTGTCTTTCTTGATGTGCTCCTTTTCTAACAACTCCCCAGCATTCTATCACTTCTGGGCAGATTTTACTGTTCTTTGAAAGGCAAGGGCTGTTGAATGTTGTGCAAGAGAAAGTGTGTCCCTGATCAAAGCCTGCTGAGAGGAACAGGCCAAAGTGATTAATTCGTCCTCCAAACCCAATGCCATTTGGAATGGCCTCCGAACTGAAACTCACAGCACACTGCCAATTGGAAATTGTAAGCCACATAAGTCAGTTGAACAAAACAATAGGCAGTTGAACAACAACAATACTGAAGGCCAAAAATAAAAACAATAGTACTAAATGCATGCATAAACATAAAATGAAGCATGGAAATGCTAGTGTACACTAGAAGGAAATGGAATACCATCAACTGTGGGAAATAGGTGCTACTTTCCAACTACTAAAGTAGAAACTCGAGATGAAAGAAAAAAAAAAATCAACGTTTTCAGGGAAAAAAAAAAAGGAATATGAATGGTCAATTAAGGTGACAACAGAATTAAATTTTCTTTTATTCCATCATCAAACCCACTTTCATCAATGATTTGAGAAGAATAAAATGTCAGACACAGAAACCCTTGAATTAACTGTCACAGTTTTAACAGTTTATTTTCCACTGAGATCTATCAAATAAGCAATGATCCATTTACGGTAACCCTTCTAGCTATAACAGAGCTTAACAATTGCAGACATAGTCGCAAAACAGAAAAACGCCAATCATCAAACAACAAAGGTTGATATACAAATATCCTACTGACTGCCGATTGCACCAACTGAATGATACCATATATCTTTCACACAGGACTTAACTAATCACAGCAAGCCAAATAAAGAACGAAATTTCATTGGTGGTATCATAAGTGTGAGGACCACTGTATAAAATTCATTGGCATCAAACAAATAAACAATTCAAATGCATATTTGTTTCAACAAAGTAGAAAAGCAAGTAGAAACATACCCATTGTAAATTGTTGTTGGCCCCAGTTGGTCTGAAAATAGATAACTTTGGATGGAGCTGAAAAAGAAAAGACTTCATATCTCCATAGAAATCACCATGCCTCTCCCAAGGCTGGGAAGCATAACCCCCATATATAGAACCTTCATTATCCTTAATAATCAAGAAAGTTGGCCCATTATCATTTCTGCAGTTCAATTGAACAATTATCCATTTCACTCCTACTTAAAAATAGTCCAGAAAGAGAAACTGAAATAAAAAAAAGCAAGGACTCAGCATATACATTTTCTTCAGAAAACAATAAAAAGAATCAAATCAACAACAAAAGCAAATGTACACTTTGGAATGCTATCACCATTTTATTCAAGGGAAACCCGTGCCACCAATTTACATACTTGTGGAACATATGCATTAATGATATTTTCTAGCTATCACTTGCCCAAAAAAAAAAAAAAGAAAAAAAAAAAGAAGAAGCTTTTTATTTGAGCAAACTCATTTGAAAAATAAAATCAAAGCTGCAGCATTGGTGAAATACCAATTCAGAAGCTCACTTTATTTAATTGTGTAGACAACAAATGCAACCCATGTACCTAAAACTAAGGCAGCAGTGCAGCAGTGGAAGGCATAACAACAACCATTTAGCATATCATTGAACAATGGAATTAAGTAGCAATGAAAATGCAGGGAAATCCCAGGACAGTCACATGACAATCACAATAAGATCAAATTAGAATGGAATGCATTGACATATTTTCAGGTCCAAATTTAAATTGAGAAGAAATTCACCAATAAGCAATGCCGTGAGTTACAGAGACTTACAGAATCATGCAAAGAAAAGCTACCAAAAACTCATAGCTAAAATAGTTGCATGGAAGAGGCAAGCTACTTACGTTATGCTGCCCAAGAATGTATTGAAACTTAAGCCATTTAAAGTACTATGATACAGAAGTTTCCATTCCTCTAGCTCTTGCTGGGAAAGAGCTCCTCCTACATGCCAAGCATACTCCTTTCTCAGTAACAACATACTAGAATCAATACTCTCTAAATGCAGCAATTTAGGAACTTGAGATCCATGTCGCCCTACAGAAAGCCCCAACTGTGTTCAGTATTTGGTCCAGAAATTAAATTGGGCTTATTAAAAATATTATTATATCTGCCAGCTTACAAGATAACAACTATCAACTGAATTTTGAGTACACAATTCATTGAGTTATAACATATGGAGAAAAATAAGTTTCCTTAATGAATCAGGATTGACCAAATTAAGCTTGAATGCAGACAATCAAATTAAGAAGAAAAAAAAAAAAGGCAAAATAGAACTATTTACACCTGCTGAGATTTGTCAGACTAGGATGTGATTAAACAAAAATCCAAAACTCAAAATTTCCAACAATATGAAACAAAATTTTGCATAAAGAAGTGCTGTCATCAAAGGCAAAGTTAGAAGCTCAATGATCCAGTATTTTAAATTTTTCAGGTCATTACTACTGCTATTCTGCTACTAAATTGTTTAAGTGCATTATCTATTCCATCATTACAAGAACAATCCTTTTGAATGCAATTCCTCTGAACAAAAAACCTAAAGCAGCCACCATATCGATGGTGTTATTGTTTATGCTAAACTAAAAGTAACTAATATGCTACAGCCATTTATCATACTTCCAGTTTATGATCTCTTGTAAAGTAATGCCTAATTCTGAAATAGTAAAACATAATTGAATCCATAAATAAAGGGAGAAGCATAAAGAACCTGAATCAGGTGGAATCAGTAGACTTCCTAGATACTTTCTCAGAGATGGGATAAGTGTACACCACTTTCTGAAATCTTCAAAAGACATACTTTTATCATTGCATCTTTCATCACCCCTTGAGAAGGTAGCAGAATTAAGAAATATGTCCACCATGTCCACTTGTGAACTTGATCCAGGTTCAGAACTTTTCACATTGAATATATCATCAAATATCGTAACTAGAACAGATTCTATGTCAGACCTGATATCAAGAAATAAATACAGTAAGTGTGAATAACTAAAAGTTTTCTTAAAAAACAAAAGACCAAGAACTTCTAAAGGTTGTACACGAATTTGTTAGCAGGTTAAGTGATAAACATAAAAAATATTCCACCACCCAACTGCATCTCAGGAGCTGAACCCTTTTTTTCTCATATGACATTTATTTAACCTTTTAATTCATAACAATGGCTTTTTAAAATTCCTTTTCATTAATTGAACAGAAAAGAAGCAATCTTGCATGCAAAGTCAACAAAAGTAGTTCAGCTCAAAATTATGAGAGATTGTGCAAGGGACAAAATTAACGGCAAAGATGGCACTTATTTTAAAGGACCCAACAACACCAAAGCCTATGTATATTAAGTGGTTACTCTCATACCTCCCCAAAACACCATCAGCTGTGACATCAGATAATTGATAAACAAACTCCTCAATCTCATTATTTGTTCCTTTCTCATAAGTCCCCTGCAATATGCAAAAAGAAGCAAATGCACCAAATGGGTGTCACCACGAGAGTCATAAAAAGTAACAACCATTAACATTTACAAATTGCACATGATATATGTGCATTTCTATGAATCACTAATACACCAGAGTCGAATCCACACAAACCAAATTGAATAGAAACATTACCTTAGCAATTACGAGGTCTTCAAAGGTCAATTTCTGGTCTTTCCTTTGTTGGGTAACCAAATCAAAGAGTCTTTCCCCAAGAGCCCCTTTCAGTCCAAAGTATGCCTGGACCCAAATCAGACTGAAACGGAAAGGCATCAATGGACGCAATTGGAATGAAGAAAAGAAGAAGAAATCAGATGGGTCACTGAAAACGAACCTGAAAGACAGAGGGAGATATGTATCGACCGTCGCTCTGTGACTGGGCAGCCATGGACACGAACAGTGCTCTGAGATCTCCTATCTCCTTTTGCGTAAAAGCTCTGC